TTAGTAGTATCCCAGAGAATTATCCTGGGATAAATTATCCCACTTTAGGCTTAAAAAGGATCTATGTCTTGGGAAAATAAGTGATGTTTTAAAATACATTTGCTAAGAGACTGTGAAAATATTTAGGCAGAATTATCTGATCTGTGTTAGATGTAAGGTGATTTCTTCAGTTATTCCTTCCTTCAGTCATTCCTTACAGTCAACCCTTACCATCTCTGATAACATCCACAGTTTTCAAATACCACTTTAGATAAAAAACACACTTGTATATGTTCATTTATGTTAGCTGACTGGTCACTCCTAACCTATTGGTTTTCAAAAACAAAAAATGTGATAGTCATGGTGACCTAAAACACAGTCTCCTTCTCTTAGGAAAAATATGCCCTAAGAAACAAGTGTGCCACCTATTGATTTACCAGATATGACTCAAACATACCCTTCCCAATTTTGTAATGCTTATATGCTCCAGCAACAGTATTTGATGACCTTAATGAACTTCAGCTCAAAACACTGTGTATGATGAAGACTTCAAAAGTGTCCAGTTTTATAGGCAGAAATTAAAGTGTAGAAATACTAAGGTATTTGGTCATTCCAGTTAAACAACAAAATTGGTTTCATTTTATGCATCTTATTCAGGATTATATAGGAAGCTACGGTCTCAACTCCTGTCTTAAAACTTTGACTGCTGAACCACCTCTCCTCTTCTGAATGTCTCTGAAGATATTAAGTACATATGCACTGATGTTATGTACCACTACCAGCAGTCAGAGATCAAGGCTGTAGATCTAGGTACAAGCTGCGGCTGCAACTCATAAGTTTCTAAATGATAGTGCCATGTAATTTGCTATTTACAAACGATTATTAATACATTTGCTAAAAATAATCATCCATTAATTTAGTTTTAATGTGATGTTAATGAAAAACTGGCTAGAGAATACAACTACACTGGGAGGGCATTTTTCAATACTCCCTCACCATACACTTGGTGCAGGCAGGGTGCCTGTGAAAAATGAAGACTTACAAATCTCACTTGCAAGTCAAAAGAATTAAAGGCTTGTTCTTTGTTTTGATTTCCATTTTTTTTCCTAGAGAAAGAGGTCCATTTACATTGATATTGAGTATTTTAATGTGTGAAGTAATACAGCAAACTGAAATGCCAAGATGATATGTTGTAAATTCATCACTCCCTAAGCCAGCTGCTTCTTGTCAGAAAAGGAAAGTTCCTTTTAAGTGTCTTTTGAGACTGATATAAAACAAGTTATCTGACAAGACTGTTTGTACTGTATGTCATCAGGTATTTCTTAAAGCATAAATTATGACTGATTTTATTTTTTTTTTTTAAATTGGAAAAAGAATTATTTCAGACAAGCAATCCAGCAAATAGTAATTCCACTTCTGATGTTTCAGGAAATGAGAAATGACTCCCCCAGTGGTGCTTTCAGTAACACTAGAAAGATAATTTCAAACACCTCAACATGAAAATTTCCAACACTTAAATTCAACAAATAGTTTGATTTAGCAGTAGTGAATGTATTTTGAAATTAAATATTTAAAATGCTGTTCCACAATATTCTTTCAAATACATTTTTAGTCCATATTTGGTTTATTTTTGCAGAAGCCATAATTTAATCAAATTGATAGGATATTTGGCCCCATTCCTTCATAGGAAAGCACACAAATTCTATAATGGCCTTATCAAAAGCTAAGTCATGAAATTTCATTAAAATATGTAGTTAGTAAAGTCCTTATTCACTTTATTACATATTTAGTATCCAGACAGCTCTTTAATTTCATAATCTCCTATCTTTAATACAATTTTTATTATTCTGGTTTGTGTATTTTTTAGCATTAGAATAAATTATGTTTCAATCAAATACTTCTGTCATTTGTGACAATTTGTCAGTTGTGAATTCTCATGAAATTTTGTAACTGTTCTCCTCATTAGTCCTTTTGCTTCCTCATTGGTACATTGTTACTTAATGACACCCTCAGAATATTTTCACAAAATTAAATTTTAAAATATTTTTCGTTATATATTTGCATGATTGTGCCAGAACATAATAAAAATACTACAATTATATGACTATCACACAGTGCTTGATTGCCTCTACCCATGGCAAACGCAGATAAAAATAAATACAGAAAGGATAATCTCTGCCGAATTTATTTCCACAGAGTGGTAAAACGACATTTATTTAGACTATGGAGTAGGTAGGTACCCACAATGTGCTCATGGTCCTTAACTCCCAGGCACACAATCAAATAGAAAATAACACTGGACTAAGGAACACAGAAAGGATGTGCTCAAATCTCACCTGTCGTGGAGTCAAAATGATGCAAAAACACACACCTGGAGTTGCTTCTGGGTCCTGAAGATTAGACATGTAAACATGGTACGAATAACAGAGCTGAGGAGGGAAAAGCATGCTCATCTTTCTCCTAGTCATTTGCTGTTGTCCTTCCTTTCTGTCTGTTTGTCTGCTTCACAATACAGATGCATACTCTTCACAAAATTTGTGGGAAGGTGCTGATTATGAGTTTGAGACTACCCACTCATTTCCTATCTGCATAAGACACTCTAGTCTTCAAGGATAACTAAGCCCTTTATTCCAGGAGTGCATTGAAACACATGGTCACCATGCACCTAGTTACCATGTCCCCTCTTCTTTCACATGGTTCCTGCATGATCATGTCTTTTATGTGACCATTCATACAAAATAAAGACCTAAGCAACTAAAGTTTGGCCAGAATTATGTTTGAAATAGCCATAAGAACTAACATCACTGAAGACAAGAAAAGCTTCCCTCGTCATGGAAATCATTGGGTTTGTGGTGAGTAGATCCCAACCAGAAACCAAGCACTTGCCAGCTGCTTGCTCACTGACCCCCCACACCCACATCAGGATGGGGGAAAGAATTAGAAAAGCAAAAATGAGAAAAACTAGTGGGTCAAGATAAAGACTGCCTAACAAGTGAAGGAAGAAAATGTTAAAAAAAAAAAAAAAAAAAAAAAAAATGATGCAAAGGCAATCACTCACCACCTCCCACAAGCTGACCAGTGCCTAGACAATCCCTAAGCAACAGCTACCTCAGGAAGGACCACCACCCCCACTTTATTGCTGAGCCTGACATTATATGGCATAAAATAACCCTTTGGTCAGTTGGGACCAGCTTTCCCAGCTGTGTCCCCTCCCAGCCTCTCACCCACCCCCAGACTACTCCCTGCCAGGGCAGTGTGAGAAACAGAGAAGGCCTTGATATTGCAAAAGCACTGCTTAGCAATAGCTGAAACGTTGCTGTGTTATCTACACTGTTTTGCTCACAAACCTACAACACAGCAACACACAAGCTGCTGCAAAGAAAACTCTCCATCCCAGCTAGACGCAGCACAGAGTTAAAACCAAATCTTTGCCTTCATTAGTTACATTCATCTCTTCTTTCATTTCTATCACCTGCCCACCACTGCGGTGCCTGAGCCTGTTTAGAGAAATAAGCACCCACAAAGAAGGTTGAGAAGTAGATGACTTGCCTCTACCAAGCTGCTGCAAAAGTTTTCCCTTTCTTCCCCGCCAGTGTGAGCCTCTACTAACCATCGTAGGCATGAGAGGTTGATCAGCCAGACTTCACGGAATGTCAGTCAGAAACTGGCCTTATAAGTTCAGTGTGATTGCAGAGATATGGGTCAGTATAAATGGTTCTTGACTTGTCATTGCAGCTGCTTTCCAGGGAAGGTGATTATAAATCTCCATGAATTTTCTGTGGGAGTGGTGATGTTAAAAGTAGAATGAGACACCTTCACACAAGTGGCTTGTTTATACCTAAAAATGACGCACCAACTCTTCTGTTATGATGGTGGCCACATTTCTCATAGTATAAACCAACAAGGCCAGGACCTGTTTGTGCTAAGATCTCAATGTTTGATATGGGTTATAAAAATTGAACTAAATTTATACTTGCAGTACAACATTATAAGAAATGTGTAGAGAAACCAATGAGATTTGTGATGAAAGGGAATCACAGGAAACAGTTGATAGCAGCTATAATTTCTTTACCTATTATTACCTGACTCTGAGGCCCCAAAATTATTATATTTGCCTGTTTCCTGTTACTTCTGCAGTTACTGATGGCAATTAAGCTGCATTTCTTCAAGCTAGAAAATGTTATTTGTTTTCAGAATTTGGCTTAGTATTCCCTCCGAAATAGCCCTGGCTGGAAAAAAGGAAGTATGACAATGAATTATTATTCTGAGAATAGCACAATTATCTGTACAGCATGGCTTTCTCCATCATCAACCCAGAGCTGATAATAGGAAGGAGACAGCTCTTCTGGCCCCCTGACAAAGCTCTGTGCTGATGTCTGACCAGCGGGCCACAGGAGCTGACAGAGATTTGCCCGTGCCTTGCACCAAATTGTGTAACTGTTTTATCCATTTGCTCCCAAGAGTGCGTGGCTTTTTCAACTTCTTTCTTTTCATGAATTCACTGAAGATAGATAGTGAAACAGGAACAACAAGAGAAAAAATACACAAAAGGAAGGCATGAACATGTCAACTTTCAGGTTTTGGACAGTGTAAATGTTTATTAATTTTCAGAAATTCTCAGTGTTCTTTGGCTGAGAAAGTACCATTTTCCTTTAGTTTTGAGGAATAACTGATTTATTTTTTAATTGCTACCCTAGCCCATCAGTGTTAATGCTTCCACACAGATGCGTTACCAGCACTTTGGAATTGGGATAAATTGTGAAGAAATGGATTAATGCATGTGTCAGGGCGAAATCACTCCCCCAGGGCTCTGGAAATTCCTATTAAACGAAGATGCTTGATACCGCTGCCCGGGGACGACGGGGAAAGGCGAGAGGAGGGAAGAAGCAGCGACGGCGGCGGGCGCGCGATCCCCCTCAGGCGGGCCCGGCCCGGCCCGCCGCCTGCCCCACCTTCCCGCCCGCTCCCCCGCGCGGCGCCCAGCGCATGCGCCGCCGGCGTCTCCTAGCAACTGGCGAAACAACGGTGCGGGCCGCTGTTGCGTGATCGCCCCCGGGCGGCGCGTCCTGCCCGGCCGCGGCGGGTGAGTGCGGCCGGTCCGCCCGTCACTCCGGGGTGTCGGCCGCGGGCCCGGAGCGGGCAGGGGGTCGGGGGGAGGGCGGTGGGCGGTGGTGGTGTGCGGTGTGTGTCTCCGCAGCGACGGGTGGTGTCGGTGCGGCGTTAGGCGAAAGATGGCCGTTACAGTCCGCTGCACTCCGGGTCGGCCGGCCCGGCTGCGCCTACGCCGGCTGCCGGGCCTGCTCCCTCACCAGCGAACTGAGGAACACGCCTCTGCAGGCTTTCAGAAGTCAAAGTTAAAAAAGAATCATTATTAAAGTCATACTTTGAAGTTTCCTCTGGCCACAACCAGAAAAACCTAAAAACTTACGTCTGCTTGAGAACGGCACCTATACCTTTAAGAAAAGCAGTGACAATTGCGAGATTTATAATAAAATTGTAAGGTTTAATAACAGCTGGAGTATATCAGAATGAACATAAATAATATTTAGCACCAGGCAGAGCAAATCCTGCTCTTAGTGGCTCCTGAAGCTACTTCCTACTAGAAACGGGGAGCTTAGGAATTGGGGCCACCAAAGGTAGAGAAAGACATGGGTGGACTGGTTCAGCAGAGAATAACTGTGACCACTATTTTTAGATGTGAACTGGGAAGCAAGAAATGGCAGTGGACCCACCCTAAGGAAACTTACCTGTTAGAGAAAAATAATTTTATTTAAAAATTTGGATAGGTCATATGAACAAAGAAGGAACTGTACTACAGATAAGGTATGTGTGACAGTAACATGAAAGGTACGAGACCTAAAATTCTATGGATAATAAATGAGATGGGGGAAAAAAATAAAAATAATCAAATTTTAAGATAAAACTTCTGTATGTAAAGAACCTGAACAGGTGATTAGGCTATTGGGGAGGAAATAGAACCTAATTTATTCATGTTTCAAAGGTTTTTGGACATCTGCAGGCAGGAATTTCAAAACAAAGTATGGATATGCTGGCAGGCTAGCATCATCTGTAGAACAGAACTTTTATAGTTTTACCGCTAATTTGAAATTATCATCTATATAAGGTAATCTGATATTGTATTATCTTAATTTATGGAAGATAAACACATGTGCTTTCTGTTGTTCATTGGCTGTGAGCAAGCTCACTATCTCACCATTGTTGATGGAAGCAACATTTCTGGCTGTTGGGGTGGGGGTGTTATTACTTTTCATTTTTGTGATTTTTATCATGCTGCCATTTTTTGATTATCTAATGTTCTGCTAACATGGTGAATGCCAAGGTGGGTTTATATGTCCTACAGTTCCTACTTTTGTTTGCAAATCTGCTACCTAAACTTTTGTCCTAAACTGTAACAAATATCTTTTTGGTTTGTTTTTGGTTTGTTTGTTTGTTTAAACTATTAATATACTAAAGCCTGGTAAACGAGCAGTTAAAATTACATGATAGGGCTACTCTTGTAGTTTGATGTAACCATGAAAGTCTTGAACATGATAGTAACACAGCTGAGGTATTGCCAGTGACGACAAAGAAGTATGAGTACAGTTTTGTACAAGACAGGAAAGGTTCCATCTGGGATGCTGTGTTCAGCTGAGGTCATCCATGTTTTCAAGAGGCTGACTTAAAAAAGCTTATGAGGATGATGTGGGGAATGAAGAATCCTTTTTTTTTGAGGAAATTAGAAGAGTTCTTTAACCTGACAAAATGAAAACCAAGTGGGGATATGTTTGTTATCTTCAAGTATATTCTGATTCTGTAATGTAAATATATATAGCGTATATATAAGATATTATATAGTATGTATAGAATATAGTAAATATATATTGTACAGTATAAATATTCAGTATAAATATGTTTTGATACCTGCCAGCAAAGAAAGTAATTGACAGATGTTTGAACATGGCATGAATACAGTAAACTGGTCATGATTAAATGTAGACTGAAAATTAGAAAAGGTCCTTGGCTGTCTGAGCAATCGGCTTGTGGAACAGCTCTTCAAAGAGGGAAGTGGGGACAAAATACCTAATGGTTTTCAAGACAGAGCATGGTAGGTATCTGGTGGGATTAATGTGGTGGTGGCTGTGAGGAGGGAGGGGAATGAATCTTGATCATTCAGAATGTCCCTTTCACCTGCTGGCCCTGTGAAACTGGCAGAAGGAGGCATTAATTTTAAGTCATATAGATTGGTACAGCTGGCTAAAAACTTAGGAGTGTCTTTAATTTTTTACTAGTCTTTAAAACTTCTTTCTTGCTAAGGCAGACCATCTTTGACTTCTATATGAAATGTGTCCTGTTATTATTGCTCAGACAGTGGTTGCATAACTAGTCTCTCTCATTTGTTTTAGATTAAGTCAATTTTTCTTCAGTCTCTTTCTCATGGGATGAGGAATTTCACTATGTGTCGCAGTGAGACATTTAAAATCACACACATGATTTCTAAAAATCTCCTTCATTCAGGCTGTCGCAGCTTGGATTCTTTAAGGACAGATTCTAGATCCGATGTTATTTAATATCTTCATTATAATTTGGAAATGAGGAATAGCATAGAGAAATCAGAATTTTCTGGTGAGAGACAATAATTTATGTTGAAGCTAAAGAAGACCGCTAGAAGCTTCTGAAAGCTCTTTTGCAGTTAGGTGAACTAGTAACACCGTGACAGATAAAATTCATTGTTGATGAAAGCAATGTAATTTGCACTGTGAAGAATATTTGGAACAACATACTCTTCACTAGTGAACCTAAATTAATTGTGAACAACTAGGAAAGTGACCTGTTTACAGTATGTGCATAGTTTAGTAAAAATCGTCAGTGAAGAAATTGAGTAAAAATTAATACCCCAAAAAGTTATAATATCAGTGGAATAAATCAGTAGTGATCTAGAATTGATTATGGTATTTCAGGTTAGGTTCATCGTGTCTGAGAAAGATTTAACAGTCACAGAGGGACTCTGAGACAAGAAACATATATGTCTGGAAAAACTGTATGGAAAAAATAATTAAAGCAGCTTAGAAAGGTGATAAATCAGAATGTACAGGGAGTTATAAAAGCAAGTAGAAAAGATCAAGTTGGAGCATCTTTTAACTAGAGTTGTAATACAAGAACAAGGGGATGTTGTTTTGAATTGAATAGCACATTTAAACTGTTTACATATTTTTTTAAACCTGAAGAGTGGTTCCTTATGCAGTACACTTAACAATTGGACCTGTGCCATAGTATGTCAGACTAAGAATGAAGATTAAAAGGATTAAACATATATGTGGACAGTAAAAATAGCTACTATTGTTAGGAAGAACATAAAAACTTCAGATCTAAACCTTCGTACTTTAGGGAAATAAAAAACCTGTAACTGATGGAGGAAATCTGACTTTGGGGATTGCTTTCATGCATTTATCAGAAGCATTTGGCTCTTACCACTCTGGAGTCAGGATACTGATCTGCCATGGAAGACTTCTTATTCATTGAAGGAGGACCCTTGTGCTGAGGCCTCTTAGTTATTCTGTTATTAACATTCACACATCATCTTTTACACTGTACAAATTGGAAAATACATTCTGCCCCAACAGCTTAGGATCCTAACACAACTGAAACACTCCTGACTTAGTACACCTCTTACTAGGTGTACCAAGCTGTTCAGCTTCAGAAAACAGCGAAGTATGGTCCTTTGGCAGTATGAAAAAGAGACTTCTATCAATCAGAGGCTGTAAACGAGTCAAAATTTTATTGCAAATTTTGCATGTTTTCACAGCATCAGGTTGTGGGATCAAATACCTGAGAATCTTAGATTTTATTAAAAATCTAAGCATTTGTCCTTGGGCTTTTGAAAGTAAAACTCAGCTGAATGTTAACATGATATCAGAATGCAAATAAAAAGTATCAGTGTATCTTAAAAGTTCTGACATTTTAAATAAATAATTGTATTATTTTTTAGCTTACCTAGAAGCCCCACCTTTTCTCTCTCATAGCTATTTCCTCAACCTGGTATGTAACTACTGACTCATTTTGGTTTTAAGGGTTTGTCTGCAGACTGTTCCATTCTGCATCCCTCAGTTTCTTTTTTTTTTTTTTTTTTATGATTCTTTGTTTTGTGTGTGTATAATTTATAAACACATAGATAATTTGAAAAAATTGAATTTTTACATGAACTCTCGGAATGATTATAGTATAGTCTTTTTTTTCTGCAGTGGGATGAACTTTGTCTAGATAAATCAAAATAGAACTCACAAAATATTATTGTCTTTAAGTGTATGCAGCAAGACTCTGATAGTATAGGTATACACTCTGTACTGTAAAGAAAGTGCTTATAAGGTTTCAGTAGTTTGAACTGAAAAAACACCAGAAGACTTTCCTCATATTTCCAAGTATGATTTATAGACTCTTTTTTTGTTAAAGTTCACTTGCTAGCCATTATCTTGGGGTTTTTTTTAAAAAAAAAAAAAAAAAAGTATAGCATCTATAAATAAGTGAATATCTCAGATTTGCAATCTACGAAACTATTCACAGTGAGCAGAGGGATTCCTAGAGCGCAATGATAAAATGAAGTGAGTACAGGGATCATGGCCATCTTTACCTTACAATCTAGTACTTGGAATCTGCTCCTCTGGGCAGGCATCTGCAACAAATCTTTCAAAAACTAAATAAATAAATTTTCCTTATATTATTTGACAAGGCAGAAATGACATGGCATAATAGCCAAGAGGTCAGAGGGTTCCACTTTTGACCTAAAAAGTCCACATTTGTGACCTTCCTCAAAATCATTTTCCACTTATAGGCAAAATGTTCTAGTTGCAGAGATGTTACTGGAGATAGGTCTATTCCTTCAGCCACTTTTAAAGAGAGAGGGTGGCTGTGTTTTGTCACATGCCTATTTCTGCTAATGTTCAGTCTACTGTGATGGTATCTGCCAAACTTAGCCTGGCACGTGGATTCATGTGGAGAAACAGGGTAATAAGTTAATCTCAGTAACTTTAGATGTCAGTGTAAATGTCAATACCCAAGCTAGCAACTCTTGACTCTGTTTTAGGTCTGAGGAAAAAGTGGTTATTTTTAAGGTGCAATTCAGTTTTAGATACCTATTTTAGGATGAATATGCCTTAAGAGCTATTGAATATGTTGACTAGATCTCCATCAATTATCAAGGACAGTGACTAACATAAGTACGGATGCCTAATTTAGTTTCGTGGACACCGCTTGCAGTTTCTGGATACTGATTCAACTTCAGGATGCTCACCCTGGGGTAGTTCTGGTCCTATGGGAAAGTTGGAGGCCCTAATGAGGTTCAGAGTGAAACAGGGATGTGTCTGCTGAGTTTAGGCACCAAGAATAGCCAGAGCTGAGGGAAAATGTTGGGGGTTGTAGTTCTGGATTGAGGATTTAGTTAGACATAATGACTGTCCTGCTGGATGAAAGACAACACCTGATTAGACCACTGCACTGATACTGGGTAGGAGCAAAGTAAAGCAGGCTCATTTGTTTACCACTGAGGCAGTAAATTCCAGGTGAAGGACAGGAAGTAACGTAGAATGTTAACTTCATAGATTGCTTGACTATACGTTGGGTACATCTGTTATGTCAAAGTCTTTTTACCTCTATATGATTTAAAACAATCAACCCTTTAATCTTGAAAAACATGGGTGGAAAAAGTATGCTCCTATAGTTCTAGAAACCTGCAGTACATGAAGTGGAGAATACTATTAAAATGATAATATTCTTTATTTTGTCTTTAAGATTTAATTCATTACAATTCATTACTAGTTAATAGAGGCATTTAAAGACATTTTTCAGGTAACATAGACCCAGGATTTAATCACATTTAAAAATCTAAATCCTGCTACAAATTTGTTCTGAATTCTAAATATTTAGATTAATAAACTGAAAATCAAAGATATGCATTCTATAAATTGACTGAGAAAAAGTCAACATGCAGTTATCATGGAGAGGAAGGGATTTGAATAAGTTCTTTTATGGGTCAACAGCCTTTCAATACCTGTACACATTGATTGTCTGTGATAATTAAAATTAAATGCAGAAGGCACATTTTTAATTATCAGTAGGTGTTGTGGTTTGAGCCTACTCAGCAGCTAAATGCCACACAGCCGCTCACCCACCCTCCCCCTACTTGGGAATGGGGAGGGAATCGGAGGGGCAAAGAGAGGCTCGTGGGTTGAGATAAAAACAGTTTAGTAACAGAATAATACACTGACAGCAGTATCAACGGGTAAGGTACAATACAGCTGCTCACCACCCACCAACCAACCAACCAACCAACCAACCAACACCCACCTGCTCCCGGTCAGCAATACCAAACACCAAGGCCACACTGCCAGAAGTGGCAGCCTCTCCCGGCCCACTCCTGCCTTTATATAGTGAGCACTATGTCACGTGACATGGACTATCAGCCAATCCGGGCCCAGCCCTCCAGCTGTGCTCCCCCCGCCCCCACACACAGGTGAGGGCACTGGGACCTGGGGAGCCCCTGGGGTCTCAGGGTGCTGCAGCACTCCTCCCGCTGCCAAATGAACATGAACCCTATTCCAGCCTGTACCAGGACAGTAGGCTAAAGAATTCCATGTGCATTATTGCCTCAAGCCAGAGAATGACCACTGAATACAGAGAGCTTTATGGGAACAAAGCTAAAACCAATATTTGATGGCAGAATGCATTGAAATCCAGAATAGTAACTGCAGCAAAGAAACAGACTGAAGGACATAATCCACAATAAAGTAACTGTCCTGTTCTCTGTGCTTGTTGCTACAGATCATAATGCTTTTTTAATATTACCAAGGAACCAAATATTTCTGAACATGCAGAAAAACGTATGTTTCCTGAAAACATTCTCAGAAGTTAGATGTATCAATACAGTGTGAAGAAATACTTACAATTAAAGGCTTTAGTTATTCACACTCTTGGAATATGTGTAATTATTTGTAAACATTAGTTGTACAACATTATAAATACTTTTACATGAATTAACTTTCTTAATTGTTTGCTTTAAACCTAATTAAACTCATTCAGAATTAAAATTGCCTTTTATGACTTTAGCTTAGTTTATATCTGAAATGAACTGAGATTAACTGAATAATTATAAATAAGTGTCCATATCTCCATACCAGGATTCAATACAATTTAAATAACTCAGGTTTCCTGAATGTCCTTGTAAGCCTGATTCTTGTATGTGTGCATGATGGATGCTTTCTACAGTGACTGCATAAATTGAAAGGTAGTATGACCATCACTTTTGTTGAATATACTGTCAGTAATTTGTCCTTATGCTTTCTCTTATATAAGTTAATTTGGCCCTAGCCAAAGCTGCACTTTCTGAAACACTGAATTTTAGCATGTGTGTGTGTATGTATGCATAAGGACAAAGCAGATAGGAGGTGAAGAATCCTTGACTGTATGTGTCTTCCTCTCAAAACTATAATTAGTGACCTGCCTATGAAGTTTTAAATTTCAGATCAATTTTAAGATGTGCTTATCAACTGGTTTCACTACTGTGTGTTACAGTTTATTTGAGAGACCAGTAGAGGAGCAATACCTGAAAAAATTCAGAGGATTCAAGAAGAGCTCAAATTTTTTGTTGAACACAACAACCAATAGCCCAGAATTCTGTAACCAGCCAGGCTACAGCTCATAGTGCCCTAGAAAATAATCTCTCGTACCACAGGGAGGCTGTCAGGATAGTCCTGGCTGAGAGTGAATGTGTAGTTTGAGAACTAACCGAGGAGGTACTAATGGGTACTAACAGTGTACATTTCACTTTTACAGAGTATTAAAACATAACCCAAGTTATGCCAAACTTAGGTTTGTTCTATGCATAGCTAGTGCTAGTGGGTCGTATTGCCCTTTACTTTTGCCTGTAGCTTAACTGGAAGGCTCTGCTGAAGTTTTGCAAGCCACATGAAATTAGGTCCACATGAGGTATTACATCCATATGCTTCAGAAGCTACTATTAGATGCAGCTGAGAAGGTCTTTCTGGTTCACATGCACATGTGCTAATACCAAAAAAAGCAGAAGACAGGAGCTAGACTTGGTGCAAATAGATGTAATTTTTTTAAATCAGTGAAATTTATACTGTGCAGAACTTTCTTAATACCTGCAGACTTGATTTTTGTCTTCTGTGGAATATGAACAGAGAATTCAAATTGAATTTGAACCCCATTTTCAAGGTAGAACATAAGATGTATAGACAAACAAGGGGAAATACCCCAGTAGGACCTTCAAGCTCATATATGATTTGTCGATGCAGATAAAACTAATTTACAGAAAAACATGTCCTGTGTATTTGTACCACGTTACAACTTGAGCTGTGATATCTCAGATCTTTCTTCTTAGTTATGTATTTTGACAGATGTATTTACCAAATATGTTTGTTAGAAAGTTTGTTTTGTTTATGAGGGACAATCTGCATAGAAATCTTCAGACTGATCTAAGTGGGACAAATGAATGAGAAAGTCAGTCTTACAAGTTTTCTTAAGTCACTGGTAAACTGATTCCTAAAATACAGAAGGGAGTTTGTTTGTCTGCTTTTATTTTTTTGTTGTTTTTGTTTTTAGAATGGGTAAAAAAATAAAGAAGGAAGGAGAGCCTCCACCCAAGGATGTGGTAAGTTTATAAACTGTTATGTGCTATAAAATAAACATTACACAATTACAGGCCCAGCTCTGCCATCCTTACATAGTTCCTTACTCTCCTAGCTTACCCACATTATTCTAAAAATGTCTTTTAAAGATGATTCTGTTTCTGCTTTTCTTGGACAGCATACAAACCAGAGTGACTGGGCATGTGTAGTTCTTTGTGGAGATTGTTGTCTTTGGCAGGCTTTGCAAATAGTAACGTATGAAACAATCCAGGCTTCTTTTTATTTGAAGAAAAGTATTAGCTTTCCATTTGTAAAAATCAAAGGAGAAGGGTGAAGAGCGACTTGAAATCTGCCTGTCTTTTCAACTATGGAGACATTACCTTTCTTTAAGGATGAAAGACTTAAGAGCCTAGGAGGATCTGCAGAGTGTTTTAATTAATACAAAATTTTACAGATATTTTGAACGACAGTACTTCATATTCCAGATCTTTTGCAAAGATATATACAGTCTTTAGCAGTAGTTCAGGTTGTTTCTGGTATCATTGGAAGTGCTGCAGTGAGAAGTACAAGAGCTGAAGCAAAATATGGAACAATGGTGCTAATGTGACTTTTTTTCAAAAGATGGAGATTAAGGGTCTGACACTAGCACACTTTTTCAAGAGTTTCTATAAATTCACAAGGTACAAAGAGACCCCTAAAAACATAGAGGTTCAAAATATAGGCATTTTTAAAGTTTGATTGGTTTATTCAGAAGGGAGTAGAGGAAATAAGACAGAGACATTGAAGAGAGTATAATATCAATTCTGTGCCAGATAATAACTAAGTTAATGAAAATCAGGACTTTAGCAATTCCCACAGAGGAGCATGAAACTAAATGCAAAGTTCAGTATGCTGTTTTAAAAAAACAATGCATTTGTCTATAAAGAGTGGTGGTACTGCAAGAGCTTTTTCAAAGGTCATAAACAAGTTGATCAGCAAAACTACATCACAATTTCAATATTAAATAAGCATAAATAGTTTTGAGTAAGACAGTAATATCCAATAGGCATGATGTCACTGAGGCATAGCAATTGATATCAGGTTTTCCAAACTGTTCTGTGGAAAGATAAATACTACAGGCAAAATTCATAAGCACTAATCAATAGTAAATCCTTATGAAAGGGGACTTGACATAGAACTTTAACATGAGAGGATAAATTGATCTAAAGCCCTTTCTGTATGGGATAACCTAGAAAACCAGGAGGAGACACAAAGAAGATATATATGGATAGGACTAATTAAAACAGTCTAAGAAAAAATTGAAAGGCATGACAGTGGATTTAAGGCATACAGATGAGCTAACTCATTCCAGAGTAATAAAAGCTGACTTTTTCAGTACATATATAGAAAGTAGAAGCAGCAACACTATTTCTAGATCCAAAAGACACCATTAGAGTTTCTGGGGAAAAATATAGTACTAACTACCACAAAAAGCTGTGAATAATGTTAGAAAAGGTATTCAATAATTGAAAAAATTAGACTTACAGAAAAAGTCAGTAAACCTATTAAAAATGAAAGAATTGGAAAGAGTGAAGTCCAGATGTCATCTTCAGTTTTTGCCTTAGTTTTTACGCTTATTATACTTCAGGCTAGTACGTCTCTTCTAGCAGTCCTGTCAGGAGAAAAAAACCTGAATGTTGCATAGCAAAACAGTATTAAAAATGAAAATAGATCATGGATTAGTTGTAACTATCAACAAGAAAATCTTCTAGTTATGAGAATATTGTTGATAGTAATCATGTAAAATCAAATCTCAAAACTTTAAATTTCACCTGGATATTTCAGATGGCAGGAAATGAGATGCAGACAAAATAAAAGATGTTTTAGCTATTATCTTCTGATTGATACTCTGCTTATGAAAATGTCAAGTTCAAGAAAAGAAGCCTTGAGATAATGTGGACACACTTATAAAACAGGGCCTTGGTGCATGAGGAATGCTCTGTAAATATATGGCACTGCAGATGACCACTAATTTTTATAGATTTCTAGGAACAGGTGGGAAACACATCTCCTAGCCTAGCCACTGATTATATGTTTAAGAATGTATTCCTGAGGACTCTGTTTTCCCTGCCTTTCATAATCTGTCTTTTACTATTATTTGTTCTGAGAATTGGGCCCCTCCAAGAAGAGGATTGCTTTGAGCCTCTATATGGATGACCTTAGACAGTAATTTAGGCAGATAAAATATGCTAACTTTGACATAGATTGATAGGAACTTTTCATACAACATCTTCGTTAAGTTTGGTCTAGATAATATTACTATTTGATCATCAGCTAGGGCATAAACATTAAAAGGGAATCCTAAGATTACCATTAGATAAAATACTGAGGCATTATCACTGAAAGCAAGCTGTAGATACCTGAGTATTTTTGAAGATGGCTTAGTTCACAACATGGATGTGAACTGAATATATGAAGTGGCACTAGCAACTCCTGAAATTTAGTCTCCACAGAAACACTTTTTGAGCGATTAATGCCTAAATATTAATTTGACTTGTCTTTAGTAAGTCTTTCAACACTGTCTCTCATAACATCCTCATAGATAAACTGATGAAATACAGGCTAGATAAATAGACAGTGTAGATGAACTGAAAACTAGCTGAACTGCCAGGTCCAGCTGAAGATCAGGCAGTGGTGTTTTGTCCCAGGGGTTGATCCCAGGGCCAGGACTGTTTAACCTCTTCATTAGTGCCCTGAGTGATGGAACAGAGTGCATCCTCATCAAGTTTGCAGAAGATATGAAATTGAGAGGAGTGGTTGACAGACCAGTTGGTTGTGCAACCATCCAAAGGGACTGCAGCAAACTAGAGAAATGGGAAAATGAGGATTTCATTAGGTTCAATAAAGGGAAATGCCAAGTCTTGTACCTGGGGAGGAATAACCAGTATAGACTGTTTGATAACCAGCTAGAAGGCAGCTCTACAGGAAAGGACCTGGTGATTGTGGTGGAAATGCACCATCAATGTGCACCTGGAGCAAAGAAAGCTAACAAAATCCTGGGGTGCATTAGGCAAAGTGTTGCCAGCAACCTGAGAGAGGGGATTATTGTCTTCCACTCAGTGTTGGTGAGTGAGACCACACCTGAAGTGCTGTGTCCCGTTCTGGATTCCCTAGTACAAGAGAGACATGGTCTTACTGGAACAAGTCTGCCAAAGGCTAGGAGCATTTGTCAGATGAGGAGAGACTGAGGGTTAGGACTGTTTGTTCTTGTGAGAAGGCTTGGAGGGGTCTTGTCAATATGTATAAATACCTGATAAAAGGGAACAAAGATGTCAGGCCAGGCTCTTCTCAGTGGTGCCCAGTGAAAGGATGAGAGGCAACGGGCACAAACTGAAACCCATGAGGTTCCAATCAAACATAAAAAAAAAAAAAATCCTCTTTTACTGTACGAATGATGGAACATGGTGCAGGTTGCCCAGAGAGGTTATGGAGTCTCCATCCTTGGAGATATTCAAAGTCAGACTGCATACCAGCCCTGAGCTCTACTGACCCTGCTCTGAACAGGGCAGTTGGACCAGATCAGCTCCAGAGGTGCCTTCTAACATCAACAGTTTGTGATTCAGAAAACCAGAATATCTTGGTTTTATATTGTTAGTATAGGACATCAGACAATGACAGAACTGAAACAATTAACATTACTAGGTGTATATTAACTCTGTTTTCCTAGGTAAAGGGGTTACGAATATGAAAGATATCTGTAATACTACTAAAGGGTCTATGAAAGGTGAAAGGCTAAAGCAGACCTATAGTAAGTTAATTAAAATTTAAAGGATATTTTTTTTAAATGACAGCACAATTAAACAATAGAAGAATAGCAGATAAATGCATCCTTCAAAAGATGGGATTTGTATCTAAATGGGAAAACAAAAAACCCTTGCACTCACAAATGGGAAATAAAAGCAGAATTTTACAATGCACCAAAATATTTTGGGAGAGAACTAGCAAGGATACAAAAACTAGCAATAAAGCTTTTCCAAATTGGTTAGAAGCAGAAGCTTCTTAGAGGGACACTATGGGGTGATTAAAGTCGTAAAAGAAGAGCAAAATTATTTATTTTTGTGTCAAAAGACAAAGTTATATAGCAAATTACTAAAACAAATATGAATAAATTGCCCAAATATGAATAAATTGTATTTGCTCAGGTCTTGTCCAACTGAAAAATAATTAAAATCTGAAATTGTGGTACTGTTACTTATATTATTTAATGCGTAGCCTTTGTACTAGAGGAATGGAGAGTAGAAAATTTCATTTTCAAAAGAAATACATCAGTAATTACAGAAAGTTTGTCTTCCATGCTGTGTTAATTAGTAGAAATAGTTACACGTAAAAAAAAAAAAAAAAAGGAAAAAAAATGCATGGATAAATATGATAGTAATGGAGGAGGATCAATACTGCTTGTGTAGAGGAAATTTTGATCTCTGAAATCTATTTGAATTCTTTCAAGGAGTCAGTGAGCAAATAGATAATGGTGATCTGGTTGATACAGTTATTTAGCTTTTTCAGAAGTTTTTAGACCAGGCTTTTCACTCACAGAAACACCAACATGTGAAAAGAAATTCTGTTCCTCACAATAATGTCTGGTTATAAAATAAAAAGCAAAGTTGAGAAAACAAATTACTGTTAAGGTTTCATAATGGAGGGAGGTTACCAGTGGAATGTCATGAGGTTTTATTCTGCAACCTGTGTCATTCAGTCTATCAGAATTAATGTAGATACTTTCATGAAAATGGCAGCCAGTTCCTAAGTAGGCAGAAGTGAATAAGTACAACATTTCAAATTTCAGAAATAAAAGGCAAAACACCGTGTCACTAACAAATGCATTATACATGCACATGTTGAATGCCATTAACAGTTCTGGTGTTTCCATCTCAAAAAGGTACAGCTGCACCATAGAAAAGTACTGAGAAAGACAACAAGAATAGACAGAGTGGTTTCTGTATTAGGAAAGATCAAAGAGAGTAGGTTTCTTTATCCCTGAAAGGAAATGACTGTGAAGAGGAATATCGTAGAAACTTAACAAAAGGATGAATATACAAAGAAGGCAAATGGGTGTAAATTATTTCAGTGTTTCTTATGGTGCATGAACTGTGGAGGACAAATAAAATTACCAGGTGCTCATTCTAAAACAAAGAAAAGACATAGCTAGCTATATGACTGTTAAACTGTGATACTTGTGTCTCAGACTATTAAAGGTGGCTAAAATACAGATGGCTTCAAAAATTATTTACCAAATTAACTGGTGGAAAATTTTTCTTGGACTTTTTGAACACAGATATAAAATAGCTATCTCACCACTTCTCTAGGTTCCAGAGTGCTGGAGTATGGGGGGGAATATAAGCAAAGTTTAATAGTCTGCTTGCCCATACTTGTTACCAAGCTTTGTCAAGGACAGGATGCTGGGCTAAGTGGGTCTTTGGTCTGACTGGAAACATACTTTGTATTACCTTCAATTTCAACTAAGTTGATGGAAGCCAAAAAAAAAAAAATCCTGCAAATACTCTGCAGTTTCTAATGGCTTTGAAGTCAAATGTACAGAAAAATCATGATCAAAGTTATATAGAAGTTTTTTACTTACAGCTTTCTTTTTCATTTAACTTACTTGTTCTTAATACAAACTGAATGTTGGAAATGTTGTTTATAAACCAGTTCAATTTCTGTGTTTAATTCAAGGTTGTTTGTAACTTCAGGCATGTTATTCTAGCACACAATCTGTCCTGTATGTGCCATTAAGGGAAAAGTCTGCAACGATGTATGAAGATTTAGGAGCAAGCCTTGATTTTTTTAAAAATTTTAAAAGTTTTTTTTTATAAAAGGAGGGGGTACTCTAGCTATGCTGGCACTGTGATAAGCAAAAGTCATATCTAGTTCTGTGATAGTTTTGACAAGCAATGTTACTTCCCAGCAAATCACTGTCCTGCTCAGGCCTTTGACTTCTTAAACATACATTGATCTCAGTGACTCTTCTTACCAGGTTTTCAGCAGAAAACTGCTACTAATAGGAAAGTGCCTACTGAATATTTCAGACAGTAATGGTGATGTAGTATGTAGTAATGTCTATACAAATGGGTAGAGATTAGACCAATTTCACTCTGCTCATGTGCCAACCTGTCATTAAATCCTAGGAATCACCACTGAATTGTAGTTTATATGACTACTTGTGAACATGAGAGGCAATGAGAATGGAGCAACATAATAGCATCTTTGGTATTAAATCAATGTAAATAAATACATGAGATTTAAAACTCTTATTTCATAATTAATTTCTTATTAAACTTCATCAGACATCAATCTTTGTGTTTATTTTTCTCTGGAGGACTAACAGCCTTTACTAAAAATTACAGTTTTATCTCATCACCAAGTCATTTGGCCAGACTGAGGAGATCTGTCTGTGCTTAAATCATAGCACTTACCTGGAGAATCACGTTCTGTCCACACAAGGACACAGATGTGCAGAAGTAGAGAAGTATAAAGGTGGCTAAAGGGACTTTCAGTCATCTCTTAATTCTCCCTCTCATAGGGGTATAATGAATGAATGTAAACTGAATTTTTTGCCTCCTTACAATCCAAAAAGAAAATTCCCATAAAGAATTCCATCATTTTAGGCCTATCATTAATATGTAACTTGCACCACTCTGCCATTATTTGATTTAATTCTTGTTGCTGAGTCATTAAGCAAAATTACTTATGGTACAGCAAGCTGATTATATTTTCTTTAAAAAGGAGCTTTGTTCCATGACCTATCCCATGCCTCCAGCCTGGCACAGCAAGCATGAAGTTGGACATGTCTTCAGGTTTTCAGACCTGCTTGAAGCCAGGGAGACCAGTTAATCACATTAACTGTTAATGAAATTTGGATCTTGATCTTGTAGACTGTTAAATTGGGTGATATGCCTCATGAAAGATGATGAAATTACTTAGATTTAAAAACCTACTAAAAATATTAATTTAAAAGTCTGGATACTAGTATCCTATTTTGCCTTATTTTTAAACAAGTCAGAGGAGGCAGAAGAAAAAATAGACTCCTCTTTGTTCATTTTCCTCCCAGCTCACTCATATCTTTTTTGAAGATTTGCTCAAAATAATTTCCTTGCTTGACAACTGGCTTGTATGTATCTTCATGCCCTTATTGTTCAGCAACATGTGCCTCTGATATAACTATTACACGGGTTTTAAATGAAGTAAAACAAACAACAGACAGTTAAAAATATATGTGGTATAAATGTACATTATAATAATATTTTAAAATAATCTGTATTGCTACCTTAAATGCTTAATCTGCTTTATTTTAAGGATAAATACATTGATATTGAGAGACTACATGACTCCAGTATCTAGTAGTTTCTGTATGTAACAGAGATACTCTATGGGCCTAAAGTGTGAGGACAGAAGAGATTTTTTCCAGATTAAAAAATCATTTTAAATCCAAATAAGCATAAAACTTTTTAATGGGTAGAATTTTCAGAAAACCTCAAGTCTTGTTAAAGAACAAAAGGCTTTTTCAGAATATTCCCTTGCTCAAGTGAACTTAGTCCTAAAGAGTCTATGAAGAGGGTGAAACCTGCCAGATTCGTTGGAAGATTTATTTCTGTATGAGAGAGGTCAGAAATAGAAATGAACACTTTGTATCGTTTCTAGATGGATGAGCAGGGATTATATCACTGAAATACTTCAGATAGTACCAGGTCATGGAGAGCAACCACAAAGTGTTAATGCCACAGAGTAACCAAATCCTCTTCCTCCTACAACACCTAAATTCATAGGCTCTACACACAGCTACTCAAAAGAAACTTCTCCTGTTTAGTTCTGAAGCCACAGAATGCTCTTACATTTGTAACAGAATTATATACTTTGTTGCCCTCAAGACTTCCTAGGGGTACAGGGAAGTGTCAAGGTTTTCCCAAAATCTTCATAAAGGATGAAGTCATTATTATATTTGGAAGTCAATTATTCTTTCTTATTTTTCAGCAATATCTCAAATTGTTATTAAAAAAAATAATTTTTCCAGGTAAATAGCAACTTATGTTAATATTTATTATTCTGTGTAGATCTTAAACTAGATTTTTTTTTTTTTAATGAGATGTGGGAGTGTACTGCAGCACATAGAAAGGCTCAGTATAAATCAAGTTATTCTTTTTTTTTTTTTTTTGTAGTTTGATCCTTTATTGATTGAAAGCAAAACAGCAGCAACAGTTGTGCTAATGCTTAGCTCTTCTGAAGAGGAAATTTTGGCCAAAGCATGTCATGCTCTATATAAATTTGCATCAAAAGGTTAGTCTTTTTGAAATGAGCTTTCCTTTGAGTTGCGTAGATTTTGATAGTAGTTCACAAGGTCTCTGTCAAGGTTTTTGGGGTTTTCTGAAATATCTATAAAACTTGTATTTTCAGTTATAAAGAAGACCTGTGATTTTTGTGAAAGAAATTTTTATAATTTTGTTGTAGAATTTTATATTCTCTGTTTAATAGAGCTTGGTTTAAATATAATCGAAACCTGTTTTGTTATTAGCAACAGACCTGCATCTGGGAAAGAATAATAATTTTTATGTTACAGTTTGAAACTTCTGTACCAGTGTAGTTATTTCAAGGTTTCAATGAAAATTACTTTTTGGCTCATTTCTGTTATTTTTGCATATAATTCTTGTGTCAGTACTTCTGTGACAGATGATTTATTGGAAACTGCTCAGCCTCCTTTATCAATCTTATTCCTATAACTGTTTGGAATCTAAGAAGTCTCCAAGATTTCAAACCTTCCAAAGGTCCCCATATTCTCTATGGCTAAGCATCATGTTCTGGGCACCCACAAGATAACTGTCTAATAGAGGCTCAAAATTATGTAGCACGTAATTTCCAAAATTGCCTCCTACTCATTCAATGCCAGCCACTCAAATTGGTATACACTGGTAGGATGCTTAGTATAATTAATCTGGTTTAATATTAATTTTCATTTAGCTTATGTTTTCTTTAAAAATTATGGGTTTATATGCTGATTGTTGTACTGATGGCAGTTTGTTGTACTGATGGCAATTATCAACACTGCTGAAGTTGTGAGAGAGGAGCTCAAGGTTTTGACAGTTGGCTAGGGATCATTGGTTCTGAAAGATGTTTAGATTCATCTTAATATGGCAAGCTTGGCTGAGGGCATGCAACCAGATTTTCAATATGTGAAGGGAGATTTTGGACTGTTGGGAGACAGCTATAAACTGCACACAGTAAACTCTTGTTGGCTCCTTCCCGGCTGTCCACAGTAAAATATGGCACACTGCAAGAGGACATAAACTTAAATTTTCTGTTTCTACTAAATTAATATTCCTTTAAATTGTTAATGTAGATATTCCTGCAATCTTCCAGAAGACTAGACAGTAACTTTGCAGTGTGGCACAAGAGAAGTTGTTTTCACTTTGCAGTTTATTTCTTTCTTGAATATTGCTAGTAAATTAAGTCCCATCCCTCAATAAAAAATAGTTGTATTTAGTGTTTTGGCCTGAGAATGAGCATAGTACTTCAGTTTCTTCTCACATTGCTCACGTAGCTAGAAAGGGCAGGCATGGTTCATTAGAAAATTAATTACAAAGCACTTGGGGGAACTGAGAATAGGAGTAGATTTTGGATTTTGTTTGTTGGGGTTTGGGTGTTATTTGAGTGAGCAGGAACAGAAGGCTCTAATCACACAAAATACTTGTTTTTCACATAGCCAAAGCCTATTCAGCTACAAAGTGCTCCATTCTCAGGTGGTAGAAATCTCAGATGGGATTTAATGATCCAAATCCTGGTAGTTGTTTCAGTTGAGGGGTACTGCAGATCCACAGAATGAATTAACTCTTATTTTGAGGAAAATAAAATTGGGAGGCAAGAAAAGAGGAAAATAAAATCAGGTTCTTAATGATATCATTCACCCATACTTCACTAAATAGAATGCTGTCCTTTGTACTACCACTGCTGTTTCCAACAAATGAGTTGGGTGCCCAATAGACAAAAGCATCTTTTGCATTACAAATGTGAATTAATCCTAGATACTATTAATCCTTGATACTATTCGTAGCATGTTTATTTGGGGTATAGATTAGACAATCTCCCAAGATCCTGTCGGGGCCTTTGCTCTTCTAAAGTCCAATAGAAGTTTGGTAGCTGGTTTACTTTGTTACATTAGAACTGTGAGCTTGTTGCATTTTTATAGAATTTATAATCTAATTACTCTTAAGGTGATGAAAACAAAGTGACACTTCTTGGTCTTGGAGCAGTAGAACAACTGTATAAACTGATCTCACATGAAGATCCAATTGTACGGAGAAATGCCATCATGGTGTTTGGGATCATGGCTTCTAATAGTAAGAGTCTCCATTTTTTAATATTTTTCAATATGTAATTTTGAACACCAAACATGAGCAATAGGTAGCTCATGTGAAAAAATTCTACAATAACAGCCCAGAATAAAGGAACAAATTCAGGAGTGAACTCCACTGATTTTGAAAAAAAAAAATTACAAGATAAGTTAATTTTCCTCCAACCCTTATTTTTGTTTTGACATGCCCAAATTGAAACAGTTTAATACTGAAATTATGTCTATTAGGGAAAGCTGGACTACATAAGATGTCCATCAATGTGGACACAACACTTTACAAAAGTTGGAAGAGAAGGATAAAGTAGTATTTAACATCTACAGAAAATGCTATCGTTAAATATCTGTTGTTACGAGGGGCATTAGTGTAACTACAGTGGTAAGGAAGAAAATGTGTTAAATTTAAAGTAGCTAACTCGAATAGTAATAGCAAAAAAAGTCCTGAACTATCAAGCACTGGCATGCATATTTACCCAGCTTCTTTGGCAGGTCATCGCTGCTGTAAATGTTTTGTTATCTGTATCTGAACCAGTGAAGTTCAAGTCATCTTGAATATCTCTCAGAGACATTGCATTCTTGGCAAGGTAGTATACCTACTGTAGCCATACCATTATTAAATGATTTAACCACAGTATATGCAGATTTTCTTGTACGTTTTTATAAGACGAGAATGGGCGTATTACATCCATGCCAGGTGACTGAGTGTCAGATGATCAAGCTGCTGTAAGTGGTAGGTAGACATACCTGAGGATGAAAGAGTAAGTGACTTAAGGTTGAGTTTCAGTGGCTTGTTATTTTTACATTGCTTTAGAAACCTACATTAATATGACTAATCAGGTCTTATTTTGGTAGTTGTTCTACCGAATTGTCTTCCATGGTGGTATCCTAACCACTGTTTAAGTCTTTTCATCAACTGCTGCCTGTGTTTCATGCTGCACTGGACCTTACGCTCTTTACCTTACTTTCAGCTCAACACTAGCATATACTTACTCCCTTCAGACCTTGGCTTCCAAAGCTGCTGCACAAACGTGGGTTTGAATGACTGAAGATCTTCCATTCATATTCACATCTAAATTGTTTTTTTCTTTAAAAGTAAATTTAGCCTATGCCCCTTTTCTTATGTTTCAACACTGTAATGTGTTGATAGTAACAACACGGCCCTGTAAGATCATATGAAATCTGTCCCAAAGAATGTTTTTTGGTTATTCTATCCAGTGGTTGTGGGTTTGCTAGTTTGCCATTGACAACAATAGAAATGTGTTCTAAAAGTCTTTACTGTGATTTTAGTAAGACCTATATTATTCATGTTTTCAGTTTGCAGTGTGGGCTGTGTTAGCATAAAATTAGAAAGTGATGGCTTGAAAATTAAATAACGGAAGGATTGCTTTTAGTTTGATAATTTTAACCACAAATAATTTTAACTATTGGGGTGTGACTTCTTTGACAACTAAAACTGCGCAATATTTAATCAGAACCTGATAGATGCAGGTATTTTGAATGAAGTTTCAATGTATTGAGGAACTTCATATATATCAAATGTCAAAGAATGTTGTCTGGTACTTGAAAATCTCCTCTCTGTTTTCTGAGTACATTATGATCTTGGTATAACTTCACTTGTGTGTCATGCCCAGTCAGACCTTTTTGTCACTCGGGGGGTAACCATGAATACATTTCCCTTGGAGCAGAATCTGTTTCTTTACTCAGCCAAGATTGCCAAATGAAAGACTTCATATTTGTATTTATTTCATTGTAGATGATGTCAAGAAGTTACTGAGGGAACTAGATGTCACAAATTCACTTATATCACAGCTGGAGCCAGAAGGTAGTTTGCAGTATTCATTCCTTGTGCAAAAGTACACTCAGAAATAATTTGTGGTTGCCATTTGATTCGACAACTTATTAAAATCTTCCTAGTAATTTATGATTTGTCATACTACATGTTAAATAGGTGATTGCTTTTATAGAACTATCTCTGTTACTCACTGAATAGTGTTTTATGTTGTACAGATGGAGCAACATGTTTATGGAGATGTCAGGTATGATTAACAGCTATTGTTTATTGACTTCAAATAATATTCTGAACCACTGGATTAGTGATCATATACTGGGCTGAATAAAACTTGATCAAAATATTTCTTTTTTTTCCCCATAGAAGATGTAGTGATCCATGAATTTGCTACTCTCTGTCTAGCACATATGGCTGTTGAATATACTACTAAAGTACAAATATTTGAGCAAGGTGGATTAGAACCACTTATCAGATTACTAGGTAGCCCTGATCCTGATGTTAAGAAGAATTCAGTTGAATGTATCTACCTCCTGGTACAGGTAAAGTTTGTTGTTGTTTTAAATTACAGAGGCAGATGAGTACTTCCCCTACCCCACCCCTGCCATCCTCTGTGAGGTTAATTATTTTAAAATATTTGGTTCCTTTACTCCTCAGTGTTCATCAGTGTATTTGAAAACGTTACACCCAAGACCTTGAGTGTTACATTAGTTATGAATATAGCTGATTTGACTCTAATTCTGTTGAATTTAATGCAATTACCCATTCTATACAGCAATGTAAGTGAGATCAGAATCAGATTCAGATATTTTTAATTAAATATGAATTTGTTTTCTTAGTTGGAAAATATTAATCTCTGTAATGAGAGTTATAACCTGTCTATCCAAAAGGTTGGACTAATCCTGTAAATTAAAGAACTAGCAATTGCATTGTGCCTTATTTTGGCCAGCAAGTCCTTAGTCCCAATTTTGAACATCTTTTTAACGATAGGTGAATGCTGTCAACAGCTACTTTCCATGCTGGGAGGAATAGATTTGTTATTGGCTACTTTTACACTCAGCACTAATGTCATCCATATGCTGCTTAGCAAAAGAATGGTGCATTTGTATGGCAGTTCTCTTCCATGGCTTAAGCGAATCAATTCAATAATGAATTCAGTTTATAACTCTATCTCTTTTGGGGCATCAGAGCATGTCTATTCAGAATCACATTTTACTCTTTCTCTTTTTTTACTATCTCGCTGTCTTTGTTGCAGGGTATATCTGGATAACTGCACCTGGTGCTTGCTTATATTGATAAGGATAATTGCATGCTGCACATGTGCAATAAGCTATTTAAAAGCAAATTGTATTTTATTTATTTTTTATATTTTAATACAATCTACTACTGTCTTTTTATTAAGCTGCATATAAACTGTTTAAAGTTGAAATTTTAAATTGTCACATAATTACTAAAACAAAAGACGATATAACCAGGCGACCACAGTAGAGTGCAAAAACTATTTTCCCTCCACTGAGGTAAATAAAAATGGTGAAACTAAATTTAAAAAACTTTCTCAAAGAAACATGTATGTTGAGACAGCCATGGCAAAAACAAGAGTAAATAGGCTTCCATAGATAGGACTAGATTCCATAGTGTGTACTTCAGTCATGCAAAAAATTGGAATTTAAGGTTAGTGGGGCTTGATTATTTTCAGTTTGATTCTTGGATGAAAAGAAAGAAATCTTCGAAACTGGGAGTTATGGAATATTGACTCAGTTTTGTATGTTTGAAATCATATTTTTGGTGTTCTTTCTGTGAGGTCAGGTATTGATGTACTGTTATATTCTCTATCACTAACATTCTTTGTTGAATATTTTACTGCAGGATTTTCAAAGCCGTGCTGCGATTCGTGCACTGAATGTAATTCCACCCTTGCTGGAACTACTGAAATCTGAATACCCAGTTATTCAGTTATTAGCCCTTAAAACCTTAGAAGTAATTAGCAAAGACAGAGAAACCAGGATAATACTGGGAGAAAGCAAAGGATTAGATTGTCTTCTGAAGATACTGGAAACCAATGTACAGTTTTCTTGCCTTAAAAGTTTTTTGTTCTTGCTTGCTAATGTTTGTATGACTAATTAAAAATATTATACATGTTATGGAAGAGTAATAAAAGAAGAAAGAGCTCCTTACTTGGAGCTAACTATGATGGAAATAGGATAAATTAGGATACCTAGTTTAATAAGAAAGGGAGCAAAGGGATTCACCAAAATGTTTGTTTTATTGCTGTTATTAATATTATTTTGCATTTACTGTCCATTTCTCAGACTGTTGTAAATATCAAAAAAACTCACCTTTGCTTTTTATACAGTTTTCTCAAATGTAGCTTTTTATACAATGTTTTCTCAAAATTTTTGATTATATGCTGAACTCTGGTGCTGGTTCCTAGTTCAAATACTGATTTTTTTTTTTCTGAATTTACTTTGATATCAATGGCCTTAAATATAATTTCTTACCTTAGAAATTTTATTTTTATGTTGTTATTATCATTTTAGTGCTTCTTGAGTTCAGATGTCACCATGGGAAATATAATGCATAGAGAAATTTGTGAAGTTTTTGAAATTTTAAGATGACAGGTCCTTTCTGAATACCTGTCTAACCCACTTCCATGTAAATTAGAAACTTTTGGGGTTTTTACTGTTTTTGATAAATTGTCTTGCATCCTAAAGCACATCAAAGAAATTATACAAATATATGAGTATAAAAAGATGTACTCTGCTGTATGAATAAACTCCAAAAGAAAGTTATTACAATTATCCTACAAAGTTAAAAGCCAAAGATGTTTTAATCCTGATTTGAAGGTCCTTTCTTTGGGATTTTTTCCTTATTAGGAATTCAGCGATCTACATGTGGAAGCTCTTGCTGTGTTGGGAAATTGTCTTGAAGATGTGCATACTCTGCAACTGATTCAGCAGACAGGAGGCCTTAAAAAGCTACTTTCATTTGTAGGAGTCTCTACTGTTCCTGATATTCAGAAGGATGCAGCAAAGGCTATTACCAGAGCAGCTTATGACTGTATGTGAATTTTTAAAAATCCATGGACATGAATTTGTTTATGAAGTAAATTTTCATCCAGAATGAGGCCATCTTATCTGGTTGAGGATAGTACTTGTGCTGAGGAAAACACTGACAAGAACAAATTGCTGTGATGGATCTTGTCGATCAGAGCAGCAATTGGATGCTAGGCTATATATATATGAAAATGTTAAGATTTTGCCTCAATTTATTTTTAAATGTAACATATTCCTGCAAAATTCTATCCTCAAAAAGGAAAATGGAATTCTGAAAATATGATCTTTATTGTTTGTTTAGTGACACCAAGTAACTGCCGTTTTAAGCCACGTTTGCTGGCACTATTTCTCATCGCTATCAGTTAAGACTTAATCGCAAGCTTACTTCCTTTTGCATACAACTGGTCGTCTAAATGTCAGGCAATTTCAAATACAAATTCCTTTAACAGGGACATGAAAAAAAGCCTTTCAAATGGCTTGCAGATTAATATTCCCAGTGGAGTTAAATAGTTTCTTTGTCATCTTTTTATAATTATTCATCCTATAGTTTTTTTCTTTATACACTTTTCTTTAATTCACCAAGGAATTCTGAATTAGGCAGAACATGCTCATCATTTTTGCCCACAAGGATGCTCTTTAAATAAATCTGCATTTGAAATTCCTTCCATACATGGGCTTCTGAGTTGCAAGGTATGCCTAGTACTGCTATGTAACAAGATGCAATGTAAGAAATAACACGTTTCTGTCTATAGAAGATTTTAATTCTGTCAAGGGATTTTGCTGACCGTAACTATTACAGTAGAGCTTAAATATTTCATTTATATTTCTATCATCTCGTGGTTGAATCATGGCATTAATTTATGTGTATTTTACAAATATGTTATTGAATTTAATACATGGCTAAAATAATCTCTCTTTTCTACAGTGATTAAGAACTCCTTTCTTCTCTCCCCATACTATCTTTCTGGTTCTTTTCTCACCTTCCTTAGTTTGACATCCTGAATATTTGTAATTATTTGGATTGCAAATGATACATGAAGAGAGTGGAATCTACCTTTCCTAGTATTCTGTGGCTTTCTGTATGCTTTTATCATTATCTGTCGAAAGCTTTGCAAGTCAGTGAAAATTATTTTCATTAATGTTTAGGTATCAAAGATAGGAAGGGACCTTTCTTTGCGTATTTTTCTGTATTGTTATTTTACTGTACAACTTAGGAGTGTCAGTATCATTTTTATACTCCTGTGACAGGCTTGTAAGTAGTATGCTAAGCAGATTTATATTTGCTCCTACTACTTTCTACTGCATTTTACTCCTTTTCCATATTTATTTTCAAATATGCATAGCCTTCTTTTCCTCTTTCACACCTTTTTCAGTTTTTGTGGCCTAATATTTTAGCAGCTGTTAGTAGAGGCATGTCTGAATGCAACATTTTTAAAGCATGGTGGCAAGAACTACACATAATATATTACAGTACTGCCTATGATCTTATATCATGGGACGTTAGCATCAGTGAAGATGCATCTCCTTGTCATACTTCTTTACAAATGTGGTTTCATTATAAAGGTTTGCTCTCTTCTTCAGCCTATGACGGTATAAATGCGGCAAGCTGGGAAAATAGATCAAAAGAAGATTTTAAATATTTGCTTTCAAGCTGTAGAATTTGGGTGACAACCAGTTAGACAAAGGGCAACATGTTGTACTGGTTCCATGGAGAACACAGCCCAATAAACCTGCAGCTCAACATGGCCCCCCAGAAGTATTGAATTTATTTCAGATACAAAGAGCTACCGGTCTAAAGTCAGCCTTCCAGTAGAAAGAAAAGCAGCACTGGGGCCATTATAAGAAATAGTCCGAGTGCAAAAAGAAAACAGAAATATTGCAGTTCTTGTTTGTTTGGATTCTGGCTGTAAATATACTAAACAGCCTATCCAAACTGCAGCGCTAATGTATACTATACCAATACTTGCCTTGATGTAAATCCAATCCAATCCAATCCATCTCTAAGTTTTTTTATGACTTTTTCATTAAATTTGCAGTAGCCATACAGTAGCCCATATTCTTCAGGTTTGATGATCGTGGTTGCAGTTTACCAAAATTTCCCACATGCTTGAGAAAAAAAATGCTGCTTTTCACTGAAATGAAGAACTTACTTCTACTATGACAGAATATGCATCTATCTATTTTTATAATCATGGCAGCTGAGTATACAGCAGCGTCTGGTTTGAAATTATTGTTGTTGACAGTTGGACTTTAGTTTTGTTTTTTTCCTGATAGATGTAATCAAAGCAAACGGGTTTGGTTTATATCCCTTTCTGCCCTTTGGAAAGGAACTGCTGTACCTTTTTGTTGTTGTTGTTATAAGATGGAGGTCTCCCTTAAGACCTAGTCTCAATATCAGTATAAATTATATGGTACAAACACTATACTCAATTTTAAATAGCATCTTTAGGATGTTGTTCTGTTTAAGTGAATTAAAACTGATCATATTTCTATACATAATCATTATCTCTTTGCCCCTGAAAATTTGTTTTCTTCTGTAACGTAATTTTGAATTTAATATATTAATTTATCAATGGTTTTATTTTGTATGCTCAGAATTACAGTGGTGAATTTTACTGTGATTCCCACCGTGCCCAGCAAATAAAGCAGTCACTTCAGAATGAAAAATATAATTTAATGCTATAAATTATTGAATATCTCTGAGTGGATTATCTGGACTGTTGATTAAGGAGGGCCTGACTTTCTCCTGGCAATGCTAAACATGCCAGCGACAACAAAATTCTACAGAGTGTGTATGGAGAAAGTGATGATCATGCTTGCTCAAGTTTGGCCTCCCTCTGCCAAACTTCTGGTTTGAAGCTCTCCCTGTTCTTTACATGTATCTCAATGCAAATCCTTTCAAAAGGAAGCATACTAAACATGCTCTGTAGCATGATTAACATAAGCTTTTTCATAATACAGGTTTTTATTTATCTGGGTTATCTCAACCCAAGATCAGTGAGAGGTCATGATATTATTTAATATTAACATTTTTCATTTGAAATTGGTATAAATAATTCCATAAGATGATGACAGTGAGCCGAATAGGTAATCCGTAGAACTCTGATCATGCATGATTCTGGAGTAAGAAGGGGAAATAGGAAAATAAATTGTAAAACAAAGGTTGGCTCATGATGGAGTCAGTGCATGAAAAACTGGACAGAAGTGCTAGTACTCCAGACTCTTTTAGTTGGGTGTGCCTGAGTGTTCTAATTCATGTTAAATCAGTGTATTCAAACTATTTAAGGGTCAAGAAATTCATCACTGTAAATATGCTGTTGGCACTGACATGAGAAGTGCTTAAGTACAAAGGATGCTTTTCAGTTGTACGTTCTTTCTTTTCTATAGTAAAGGAAACAAAGGAAACAACTCATACAAACAGAGAGGATCATCAGAAGATATTAATCCCTTAAATAGAATTGGCACCTGGATCTTAAAATATAAATGATTTTCATCTGTCCAGATAACTAAATATAAGTACATACTCTTTACCTTAAATTCAAATCCAAAATCTGTTTTTCCACATTATTGAAAAATACTTTATCCTGTTTAAAATATTTAAAATCACTATTTTCACTCATTCAAATGAGTTATTCATATTATTTCACATTGGCATAAATTATCTTTAAAATGAAACACACATTATCATAACTGCCTTTAAAAGCAAGAATCATTTTTAAGAAAATCTGTATAACAAGTAACGTGCTGTACAAGAACAAAACTACTGAGGCATGAAGAACCTCTCGAGATCATTATAGGGATTATGGACTACTTTGGCAAGCAACAGGCCAGTGGCATACTTGATAACTTGTCAAAACGGTCTGTAATCCCAATTAAGGCCTTCTCTTGAGAGCTGGCTGATGTACATCGATGTTGTGGCCAAGGTTCTGCTGATGCTTAAAATCCTCTCTGTTTTATTTATTGCATCTTTTGCTTTGAAAATTCAACTGCATATCTCTGATGGTTCTAAAAATACTTAAAATTGAGCTAGAGAGGAGAAAATGGCTGTCTCGTGTATGTGCATTGGGTCATTTCTACTCTAGCTAGATTTTTCAAACTTTCTTTTCATTGGCTTTGGGGACTTCTGTTTGTTTACTTTTATTCACTATAGATTCAGTTTTATTTAAAAGAATACCTGCAGTATTTTTCTTTCAGTTTTAAACTTTGTATTCATAAGACAATAGTCCAAATAAAGGAATGATCCCTTAAAGCATTAGTAAGCACTGGTAAAATTTCCGAATGGGTCAAAGTCCTGCTGACTTCTCAGTTCCTGAATTTCTTTGATATATTTGAAAATTTTACCATGTAGATATAACTTCAAGCTCGTAATTAATCTGTTTTAAATTATGCACGTGGTTAAATGTTTATTGACCCTCTTGTAAAGCTTCTATGCTGTCCAGTGCCTTTTTGGCTGAGAATGTTTCAGTCAGGGCTATTTCTAACACCTGCACTTCCGATCTCATCCATTTTGGGATGTGTGAGTTTATTAGTATAGTCAGGTGTCTGTAGATAGTTTGTAGACGCTCTGTGTTGTTACTTGTACAGAGGAAGGGAACATCTATGTTCTTTAGCTGCTGATGATCATAGCAGTGAACACTGTGTCACCAGGCTAAAATACAAAATTGAAATTCTCTGCAAAGTGTGCATTAATGGAGAACTGCAAGCTGTGCAGAACTTAAAATACAATTTTTAGCACCCCTTGCCTTTCTTTGGCTATTGTAGTATGTTATCTGGTTCTGTACCAAGTTCAGTTGTACATTTACGTGTACGCTCTTCAACTGGATGCATTTCGACTTTGTTAGGATAAACCAAAGTTAAGCATGATCCTGCATAATTATGATCTGTTTAATTGGAAAAGCTGTTTTCATGAAGCCTGTATGCATTCTGTGGTTTTAAGTCTCATGGAGAACAAACTGCATTCTGTTGGGCTATGTATGTTTAAAGCTGTATTTAATAGTCATCTTTTGGGCTTGATTCAGAGTTCACTGAAGTTTCTAATAGGTTTTGGATCAGGTCCTTTGTGCACACTTCTTAATTGCTGGTGCCTTTGTTACCAAAATATTTCCATTTCCATGGTATCAAAAGCAAATGTTATGTTGGAAACAGCTATATAAAATAAAATTCATGTCCTTTCACTGATTTGGAAAATGAATGCAGATTAATGCTATTATTCTTCTTCATTTAAAGCTGAAAACAGAAAAATCTTAAATGAGGAAGAGGCTGAGAAGTGTCTCATAAACCTTTTGGAAATTGATAATGACGGAGTTAAAGTTGCTGCTTCCCAAGCAATTTCTGCCATGTGTGAGAATTTAGCTAGCAAACGTGCATTTGGACTCCAGGGTAAGCAAGGTGGGAAGGGATGAACTGAGAAACTGTGTATATTACTATTTTGCAGATTGCCATGGTTTATTTAAAGGTTCATGTGTACAATTATTTCTTTCAAAGGGATTCCCCAGCTAGTACAGTTGCTAAGCAGTGACAGTGAAGAGGTAAAAGAAGCTGCAGTGACAGCATTAGCTAATTTGACAGCAGCCAGTCCTAGTAATGCAAGGTGAGTCTGCAATGATTAAATTATTATCCAAAACACTAATCAGAACACAAATTATAATATTTTGATTTTTAAAGAATGCCTTATTTTGTCCTTATCCTACAAGGCAGGTCTGTTTGATTTTGACGGTAAGGCACTTTTTGGTGATCGTGAGTCATCTGGTGTAGGTTGGTTCTCATCAGTGTTACAAGAGTTATGCTATCTCTACTAATGTTTGCTTTACCAAGGAAAGGTATGAAGCAGATGTAATGAAAGGAGAGATATAAATCAAGTTTTGAAGAGAATATATTAGGCAAATATGCCTCATAATCTAAGACATTCAATGTGGGAAACTTTCTGAAAATTCAAAATCATTAAGGTATGCTTTAAAATTTGATGGTTCATGCAACTTTTTTGACTGATTTAAACCCAGTTGTTGAAGGAGATAGCACTCAGATATTCTAAATCTTGTAATTGTCTTTATCTTTCTTTTTTTGTTTCCCAAGTAATAGAGAATGTTCAGAGTGCATTCTCTAAAAGGAGTGTAACTTCAGTATCCAAAATAACTAAGAAAGGATGGTTATCTAACTGTAAGTTCCAGAATAATTGTATCAACTAAATTCTACTGTCAGTTGCAGAGTTCTGTTATCCCAACTCTATTAAAAGTTCTGTTCAGGGAAAAGAAACAGAGCAGTCTGACGTATATGAGCAATCACATGTAACTAACAAACCATAAAATAAAATTCTTTAAAAGTTTCCTGGAATATACTTAAGGAAGTTGTAATCCATTCACAGGCATTCTTTGAAGTGAAAAAGTAAAATAACTCACCAAATAAATTATTTGTTTCAATTTATTGATTCAGCTCTAACAGTCACCAGTATTCACTTAATGTTACCAGATGGAGCCATAATTTGACACAAGAGAATAATACTCTGTTCTCAGATTCACATAGTAGATTTTTTTGTCTGATATTCTGCTCTCCTCATGTGCATGACTCTTCAGTTGGTGTCAGTGGGAGTCATACACACATAAAAAGAGCACAGTACTGGAGTCTAGGGGTCAAACTTTCAGCTCTGCTACAGCTGTTTTTCATAGCGCAGCCCTTTGAGGTTTCACATTGTGAAAAGGGAATCTCTGGAGAGTTTTGCGTTGGTATAGCAGCTTATGCCAACTCATTCAGTTTCTTTTGCCAAGGAGATAGTCAGGACATTGTTTAGCTCAACTGCTAGAACAATTCTCTGAGACCACAGGCAGGGAAATAGCTGTGTCTGTTCCTCTGCATTATAATGGAGTCTGTATTTGTTTCTTGCTGGGCAGAGTCAGGAAATTGTAAAGGTGGCTTACATATACTTCTCTCTGCAATCCAGCTCCAAGTACAATATGGAAGCACCAGATAATCTAATCACAGGTCTTCTGTGAAAAACAGGAAGCAATAATTTACATTAAATATGTATATTGGATGAATGCCATGTGACTATATAATTACTTCAAAGCTTCATTTCTAAATCAAAACCATTAATAAGTCATAGAAGGGTCCAAGTTTGTCTAGGATCTATAAATGAATATATAGAGTTGAACCCTCAGCTGATACAAATTGGTATAGTTCCAGCTCACTGACTGAGTATCTGGCCCATATTTATTTTACATTCACATAATAGGAAAAAAATTGTTTGGAGAAAATGCATTCCAGATTGAGTTACCATAATCATATTTCATTCTGGAATATTTTGTGTGTGTGTCTTGTAAACCACTGAAAATAAGTGTATATATAATGAAGATCCTGATATACTTTTATAAAAATGTGACTTTGCTGTGTAATTATGTTGACAATATTCTGGTCCCAAATGAGACTAATGAGACTAGTGCCCTTTTATTGGTTATATATTAGATTCTTGTTATAAACCCTTCAAGAATATTAAATCATAAAACTAGTAGTAGCAGGTAGACCTTATGTGGCAAGAACAAAATGACTACAATAAAGGGGAAGACTATTTACTATAAATGTTTTCACTTTTTACCGTCCAGCCAAACATTCAATCTCATTGAGCACTATATATACATGTGTTCTGCCATATTTCATTTCATGAGCACTTTTGCATGTATTATATTGATTGAAGGATGTGTACCTTGCCCTTTAATTTGGTACAGTATATATTACTGAATGTTAACAGAGTACAAGGCACTGCTATTTTTGTTGGAGATTTGTTGTTGTTGTTAGGTATATTTGGTCAAGAAATGTTGTCTGCTTTTCATATAATATAGGAGAAAATACAGGTTAAAACAAATTGTGTAATTAAGGCTCCCACAACAGCTAGCTCATAAGGATAAAGTCTTTCATTGATTAATAACACAAGAACAGCATAGGCAATGGGCAATACTACTCCTCACTAATGTATATTAACCTTGACCTTTAGGTGCTTCCCCACAGCAATGAAAGGCTAGTTCTATACCCCTACCCGATCAATCCTTTGTTTCTCAACTGAGACAGCTAATAAAGGTGTCAAATATGGTGGAGGTTTTGTAATTAGAACACCTGTTCACGATGAACGGGACAGAGACCAGCTTGTCATTTCACACAAGTCCCCAAGCAACCACAGTTTGGCAAAAATAAATAAATTAATGAATGACTCTGGCCTCCGTAGTATTTTAACCAAAGATCTAGTGTGGAAGAGAACATGAGTCCCGTACAAACAGTTTGAGTTTTCAAGTTTACTGGAAAACGTGGATTTTCAATACAATCTTTACCAGAACACATAAAAAATACTATTAATAACTCCTAAATTATTTCAGCATTGAAGTTTTTGCTGCAGAGCTGAAGCGTCATGCTTCAGTAGCACAAAGAAAAAAGGACGGTGGTCAAATGCCTCATTAGTTTACACACTGACACTCTCAGATGATGCTTTTATCAGAATCTTATCATAAAATAATGACAGAATTTTAATGCTGCTGTATATTGGTGATAAATTCTTTGTAAACTTGTTCATAACTAGGCTAAATAAAAATAAAATTGCATACTATACTGCAGTTTAAAATCCCATGTACTTATTCTAACATGTGATAAAGAAATTGTTTTGTTATGTTACTATGTGTATAGCTCCGAAGCCATCCTTGATATATGTGTCAGAATTTGTTTCTGTGGTCTGCTTCAGGGAAGAAAATAATTATGTTCAGCTGGGTATTTGCATCCGCTTCGCATTTTTTAATCCAGAACACTAACTTGCTTTATTGAAAACTGTATACAGTTATTTGGACAGCAGAATGCCATTTTAAAGGATCTATGAAATCTGTCTATTTTTGATGTGTCCAAGCATTGGGAAATGTAGGCACAGTCATTTCAATAATGTACATTATGCACAAACTGAAAAATTACACACAAAGAAACATCAGTGCCATCTATTGGACAGAAAAATAAATTATTCTGTGCTATACAACTAGCTACAGAACAAATGTTTTACTTCAGCCTCTGCCTATTTTTTCCCATTTAAAGTATAATCAGTTATTTTCACTGTTCATGTATTTAGGATAAGCCAATAATGTTAAATATAAATATGATTAGTTAGAAATAACACATAGAAATAAGATCTCAAGTGTACCAGTTAGGCCAACATTAATTTGACCAGCTTTTTTCTGCAGTATTGTTGTAGCACAAATGCCATTTCTAATAGCTGTCTTCATAAATCTGGCAATGTCTGAATTCTGGGCACCTAATGGAGTTACCACTAAAGAAAAACATATGCTCTGAAATTTAGACTTTTGTACTGGACATGAAAACTAATTAACAGCCTCAATAATATTTGTCCTAAATTGTTTATTTTAAGTGCAAAATTTATAGCATTGAGTTAGAGTTTGGACTGGGGGAAGAATGAAAGGGATGGTTTTTGTTCAGCTGTACTAAGGGCTGCAGGAAATTGTGGTACATGACAGACTTATGATCTGGCAGAATATTTCACCTGGGTTTATAATTAGTGTCATGTTACATATTTCTAAGAATTATATCTGGATTCAAGATAGTAAAGTATCATCCTGAAAATTGCAAAGTCATCAAGTTTGATATTATTTAATTTTCTAATTCTTTAATTCTTCACAGGAACTAGTGGACCTATTTACATTAGCAAAATTATGTCCATATAGGCAGTTACAGGTATTATCACAGCATTTGAGTGTATGCTTTCTCAAATGTATCGAGATTTCCAAGATTTGGAAGTAGGTTAGGGATAGGAAGATAGGCTGGGAACTGATTGGTTATGGGCAGTGCCTAGTGAGGAGAAAATGAGTTGTTCCCTTGACTTCAGTGGGTATTGCATCTATTCCAGACTGAAGTCCATATACTGATCTAATGATCCAAAATACATTCTCAGTCTATTCCAAGTGGATAATTCTCACCTGTAGTGAGAATCTCTCACCTTCTTAAATAGAGATTTTCAGTCTCCACAACATATTTTTATCATTTTAAGATACATATGGATGTCAAGGAATAAATATAAAGAATGTTCAGTTTTCTTACATTTCAAGTTTTGTTATTATCATTAGGAAGTAATGTTTATTACCATTAGGTAGTAATATCACTAGGTAGTAATCTTCCCTAATAGAAAATGGAAAACTTATCATAACTTTTCCTCTTTCAAGACTGTAGATGGAACTTAATTCACATAAATGGATCAATATTGAAGCGTTGGTATCATGTAAGATAATACATTTGCGTGAATATATGTGTTAATTTATGAGAACAGGAACAAAAATTCTAGTACGAGAGCTACATTTAAGAACAGAAATAGGTAATAAGCCATTGTATAGGTTTTGTGGTTTTTATGGTTTAGCAGTTCTTCATAATGTAAGTTTGTGTTTCTGAAGGAGGGAATCAACAATAGAATGCCACTCGCTGTATTGTGTAAAGGTAGTATGTTTTAATACTGACCCCTAGTGACAGAACTCTATTTTTGTGCTACTGTGCTGCGAGGTAAAGGGATTTTGTTGGGTTTTGTGGTTTGTGTTGTTATTTTTTACATTAGCACCCCATCCTGCT